CTTGCGTGCCCTCCCACCCCTCTGCAGCCATATGGCCCGCGTGGTGGCTGTTGGCCCTGGGTGGTGGCCATGGTCCCCAGCCCTCGCCCAGCATCCCATCTCTTCCCAGCGCCACCTCTCCCAGGAGGAGTTCTACCAGATCTTTGGCATGACCATCGCTGAGTTCGACCGCCTGGCCCTGTGGAAGAGGAACGAGCTGAAGAAGCAGGCCCGGCTGTTTTAAATGCAGTGCACTATAAATATATACATACCTATAAATATATACATAGAAAGATCTCTATATTGCAGCTCTGTATGATTCTCAGTGCTGTATGTGGCAGAGGCGCGCTCTGCACCCCTGAGAGTGAATTGGAGTCTCGCAGATCATTTTATGCTCTTTGTTTCCTTTTCTTTTCCCCCCCCGTTTCTGTACCGATCCTTGGGTTCTCCTGGGGGCTAAAGCCATATGGGCCCTGAAGCACCTGGCGTCTGTCACTGCTGCCCTACGGGGGCACAGGAGGGAGGTTTTTCCTGCTGCAACTACGGCACCCACGGCTGGGGGGAGAGCAGGCCTCTGGGATGGGGGGTGGGATGGGGGTGTCCCATCCCCCTCTCCTCAGCTGGTCTGTATATTTACTTAAGGGTTGGAAAAGGCCCTGGATACAACTTCAGGAAAGCAGGATCTCACCATGGGCTCCTTAATGCCCTCTCTGCCTTTAAAATGGCCATGCACTAGGGGCACCTTCAGCCTCACCCTCAGGATCAGAAATACAGAGCTTGGGGCAGGGGACAAAGAGGAGAAGTGGTGGGGACCCCACGGGGAGCAGTGTGCACCCCCACAGGTCAAGGTGCAAGCCTGAGCCCTGATACATCCTGAGCCGTTGGCTTTCCCTGCAAACCCGGTACTGCTACAGAGCCAGTTTTTCCTACCAAAGTGCCGGAACGACGGCTTTCCAGGCCATCCCAAAACCAAGCTCTTCTTAAATGAAATAGCCAAAGCCGCCTCCTCCTTTGTGCAGTTTCTTGCTGCTCTTCAGGCTTGTCCCAGAGCCAGCAAGGCCCGAGAGCGGACAAGCTGCGATGCCGCCCAGACCTGGGCCACCGTGCATCAGGCCCTACCAGAGATGGTGTGAGCACCCAGCCCTGCTGCTCCAGGGTCTCGGCACCCACATGAGCAGTGGTGGGAGCAGTCCAGCCAGGAGCTGGGGTCAAGGCCAGAGCCGGGGAGCCGGGGTGCAGGTCCCACTAACTGCTGGACCTTTTCGTGGTGGTTTTCCCGAATCGCCCCATCACTGATGCCCGAGTCCCAGATGAATCCCTTTGCAAGCCTCCAGGAATGAAGGCCATTACCAGGGCCATTCAGCATTCACTCCACTGCAAACTACTGGGTTTTTTTTTGCTTTTGCTTATTTTTTCTTAAAACTAATAGGGTTATTTCCACACAAACATCTTTCCTGGTGTCTGTGGTGCTTGTCTGGCACAATTTTCAGGCATACCGCAGGACTAAGCAGTCCCAAACAGGCCAGCAAGCCACGGGGCACCTCTGCAAGACCTCAGTCAGCAGGGTTCCTCTGAGGGGACAGCGAGGGTCTCACCTTCACTGTGCCACGGGCCAGCTCTGCTTCTGCCTGTTCTGGTCCTCTTTGAAACTCTCCTGTCCTGGTGTCTTCCATCAGGTGGATTGAATGCCCTCCGTGCCATCAGCACCACCACCGTTGGGTGCCGAGGCCGCCCAGCTTGTTGCCCAAAAAAAGCTGTCACCGGGTTCCTGTGTGAGGCAGGAGAGACGTGCGGGGCACCTTGAAGGGGTTTGCCAGGGTGCAGGGTGCTCGGGGCAGGAGGTCTCTCAGCAGCAGCAGCCCCAGCTCCAGGAGCTTTATGCTGGCGTGGAAGGGGCTGGGGCCTGCGGTGGAGGTAGCAATATTGCACTGGTAATTGCTCCTGTCTGCTTTAGTGCAGCAGTAAATGAACCAATTGTATTTATAATGATTTCACTCATATAAATGCCAGCTCCCTAAATCAAGCTCAACTGTTTGTGGCTATAAGAAACCTCCATCTCCAGCAGCAGTTTCAGTGATAAAGCCTGGAGGATATAATTATTATTATTAATAATAATAACACAACAGCAGGAGTCTTTTCATTTTCAAAGCATTTTATGGACAGTAACTAACTGTTCCCCGCATCTACCTGCATGGCAAAGACGGGGAAACTGAGGCAGGGCTCAGTGCTATCGCTCAGAGCCAAGGAAGCCTCTCCAGCCCATGCTGTCCAGGGGCAGCAGACACCCCATGGAGCCCTCATGGGCTCCCATTGCCCCAGGGTGTGCAGAGAACACCCATCTGCACCCGGCGAGCAGTGGCAGGGGTGTTAGCGCCTGCCCTGGAAGCCGTCACTGCCTGAGCCCACTCTTATTTGGCTGCTTTGCACATCCCAGCCACGAAACAGCTGGAGCCCAGCAGGCAGCGGTGTTGTCGGCTTTGGCCTGCAAGCGCCCTGTGCCTCGACGACAGCTCCAGAGGTGACCCTGCGTTACGAGAGAAAATGGGGCTCGATCCAGAAGGGAGGGACCAGCAAACACTGGCCAGGCAAGGAGCAGCGCCTGGGCAGGAGCTGCCTGGGGAGAGCGGGGCAGGGCTGGCTCCCAGCTGGGCACAGGGGGGTGCAAGAGGGGGGTCACTGCCTCTGATCTGCCCTGGGCTGAGTGCCCCAAATGGGGAAGCCCTGGAGGCCAGTTACTAATGCATGTCCAATATTTCAATTACTGCTTTCCCAAGTGATAATTGAGTACGTGTGAAACTGAATCACATTTCTGTCACAGCCTGCTGTCCCCAGAAGAGGTCTCAGCTGCAGTCCTGAGGCCGGGAGAAATTGTCCTGGGGGTGCCAGGAGTCATTGCCCCTGCTGCCGTGTGCTCTCCACACGCAGGACAGTCCCTCACACACCCCACAGGTCTCCCAAGCCCAGGTCTCCCCTGAGGTCTTTGTTGGGGAGAGACAGTGACGGTGGCCTGAGCACCATGGCCAGGCAGAGGCTGGGCACATGAGGGACACCAGGAGGGAGCAGATATGAAGGGGTTTGGGGGAGGGGGGGAGCAGGGACAGCACCAGTGAAGCAAGGAGTGAGGTGGTAAGGGTGAGCTGTGCTTGCTCACTGGGTGTGCCTTCGGGTGGGGGCATTAGTTCTGGATCTTTGCCCGAACTGAAGTTGCCCAAACCAACAATCCCCGTGGGCAGGCAGCAGGCAGGTGGAGGTGGCCCGCTCTGGACCCCCACCCTTCACGGCAGGATCTCCGGGTGCTGCCGCTGCTGGGAATGCTCAATGCCCGGTGTGGGGCAGCACCTGGGGGAGATGCACGGGGTGAGGGGGAACCCCGGGAGACCCACGGCTGTGCAAGGGGGGGTGGAGGGAGGTGGGTGCTGCAGGGCTGCACATGGGGGTCACCAGTGGTGGGGACAAACTTTCCGCCCGTGCTGCCGGCGGGGACACCTCCAGGAGGTCTCTCGGTGCCGTGCCGGGCCGTGCCGGTGCTCGGCGCTGCCGTGCACAGAGGGAGGGGCGGACGAAGCGATTGGCCGATCCGAAGCCGAGA